CAATTAGTCCCTATAGACGTTTTATTTCTTTAAATGGGATCATTTATTTTAAGTGTTAATTGTTTCTTTTAATGTTGATTTGTGGGTTGTTTTCAATCCCTAGTGAATATTGCATACATAAGTAGCATCTATTTATCTTTAATCCTTTAATTATTCATGTATATTTTTTTATTCATGTTCTAAGTTTAAATAAGTTTAATTTAGTTGGAGATTCAAAGAGAAGTGCTTCGGTTGTACTGCTTTTACCCTTAAACTTCAAATTATCTGTTTTTATGTGCTTATGTGCTTTAAATGCCTTGTAAGGAATCAAGCATTATTTTATAAAAGCATTTTATTATTTCTTTTAGTTTAGATTTTATTTTATTTTTATAAGGAATCAAGCACACATGTACAATGTAAAATTTAAAATTTTTATGCTAATAATTAGATCTCTCTTTGATTAGGTTCCATGAGATGAGGAATTAGTTTAAGAAGATTATTACTAAATATGCAGTAAATCCTTTTAAAGTTGAAGCAGTGAATATGTGCGAAGCCTTTGAAATCCACTTGATTTTTATGTGTTCAGTTTCTAACAGTGATCCACATGATCTCTCTTAGCTATAACCCACTTAGGTAAAAATTATTTAAACTAGATAAGTACTAGCTTTCTACAAACCTATAAGCAGTATGAAGAGAAGATGAAGAAACCTGAGTTTTGGAACTAGGGCAAATAAGACATTGAGAGGGAGAGAGAGAGGGAGAGAGAGAGAGAGAGAGAGAGAGAGAGAGAGAGAGAGAGAGAGTTTCTCCTCTCTTTTGCTTAGATGGTTTTTTCTCTCTAGATTTTCTCTAAAATCTCACAAAACTTGAATTGATGTTATGTCTTACTAACTTAAACTATGAGGCTATTTATAGATAAATAAGATTTTAGTTCCTAATAGAAATCATATAACAAATTTTCAAAAGGATTTAGTTTCCATCTTCTAATACAACGCTTAATTACACCATATGTCTCTTAAGTTTAATTTGTGTTTGTCTTACAAATTAGACTATGAGGTATTAAAACTTAAACCATTCAAGTCTCTACTTGAATTTCTTTTAACAATATATGACTTCCATGAAGAGAAACTTAGAAATATAATTCTAAGATCTAGCCATTTAGAGTTAAGATTCCTTGAGTTATACTTTAACAAGTGATTATTAAAGAAATAACGTCTCTAATATTAGAGGTGGTACGTCTTTATAGATTATTCACTATCTTTTTGTGATTCATATTGTATTTAAAATTTAATTATTTGAGCCACTCATCTACAAGCAGAAATCAAATTGAGTCAAAGCATTGAAATTCACTTTCAAGATACTATAGTCAGCCTAAGTTTATTGATCACTTACACTCCTAACTAAATATTAATTTATTGGCACTCAAATACTTATCTATGTGACAATGTTTATACGGAGCAATGTGATGAATTTGATCATCTTATCAAGCACCTACATGCTAGTTTAAACATCCCTACATTGTAGTAGATGAGGTATACTACTTTCTTCAAAAGAAAGAGGTATAGTATGTGCTAGTTTATTTGTATTAATAATGCTCTATCTTTTTTTTATACTGTGATTAGAGATATTTAAGAATAAACCTTCAATAAGTCAAATGAATCTCATCATCATAATTCTTATAATTTCATACTTAGGTTTATCTTGAGAACTTTAACATTTTAATGTAAAGCATACACATTTGAAAGGGTAAAAAACAAAAAAAAATCCCTTGTGGTAAACCTAATACACAGAAAAGTCTTCTATGGTTTCAAAATATACAACACGACCCCTTATGTTTTGAATTAAATTGTAAATGTGACGGAATCCGTTAAGCTTAACGGAAATGGACGAAATGACCAAAATGCCCTGATATAATTAAGCAAAAGACAGTTCAAAAAAATCATTTATTTTATTCTCTAAATAGAGAAAATTGAGGGTTAAGGGGTAGAATAGGTATATTTGATAAAAATTAAGTATAAATTTTTTTTTAGGTTCGAATAAGTCATTTCCGTTAAGTTTAACGGATTTCGTCACCTTTACAATTTAGTTCAAAGCATGAGGTGTCGTATTGTATATTTTGAAACCATATGGGGGCTTTTCTGTATATTAGGCTCATCACAGGAGGCTTTTTTGTTTTTTACCCCATTTGAAATGATAAAGATGGCATTCACCACTGCATAAATAGTAAAAGTATATAAGATATCTCTAAAAGTCAATTGCCTTTAGGACATACATGCTAACATTGTTTTTATACCTTTTCCATTTCATTAAATTGTATTGGTTAGTCATTGAAATAGACATATCTATTTTCACTGTCTCTAATCAATTTAGATTGTATTTAGCTAGCAAATATAATAGGCTTATTCTCCTATTTTTTCCCTTTCAATTTAGATTGTGGTCAGGATATGCAATAAATAGGGTTATGTGGCTTATATGTTTAAATATTTAATCACTTTTTTTAGAGTTTACTTTAAGATATTATGTTTTATGTGTTAGGTACTTTATGTGTTTTTTAGGTGTTTATTTACTCTAATGAAGATGATTTAGCTAAACGGCACCACAAACGTTCAAAGGGAAATAGGTATCTCATTGTTTTGGATCATGTGTGGCACATTGATGTATGGAATTTGTTGAAAAAATTGTTTCCACATGATGACAATGGAAGTAGAATTCTCTTGACCAATCAATCTCATGATTTGATTTTGTAAATTAAACCAGATAGCATGCCTTACCATCTCTGCTCACTCACTGATAAATACAATTTGTTATACAATATGTTTTCTTGTGTTTACAAAAATGCTCTTCTATCCAATTCAATGAAGTACAAGCTCTTCTATTCAATTCCATGAAGTGCTTATTTGTCCAAATTCAATGAAATGCTCTTCTATTCAATTGATGATGTGCTTCCTCAAATGTATTTGTGTTTCCTCATTTGCTATTCAAATTAAAGAATTTTACCCGTTACCATATAACTATTGAAAAAATCTTTCCTACGTTAATCGTTTAAGTATAATCTTGTATCCTTCGACAAAAAGAGGTTATACACATCCAACTAAAGAATAGCAAGAAAAAAAAGAGTTGAGGAAAGTTTGAGAAAGTAAAAGGAAGTTTATGTTTCATTAGCCCTCTTCAACTCTAAATGAAGCTTAATTTCCAAAGCAAAAATAAATGAATACAAGAAAAAAAAAACTTATTTTGATAGTTCAAAGTTTTAACCATATTAAGATTTTGAGCAATATATGACTTATTTAAAATAGTTGAACATTCATATTTCATAAGAAAGGGTAGAGTGCAAAACACGAAGCATGATCTTGTACTACATGGTACATTGAGGTGAGCCAATGGGAAATGAGAACTAAGAAATATAGATACATGTTTGAGTTTGTGTGAAGGATGTTTAATAGGAACTCGTTAAGATATATTTTAGGTATTAGATTTCTAGAGAGGTAAGATTAATTAGGAAATGTGTATGAATGCAATGGAAGGTAATAATTATTAGTATGTGTATATGTAGGTTGGATGAAATTTAGATATATTGATGAGTACCCATTGGATACCAGTTAAAAAACAATGTTTAGGGAGAGGCTAAATTCACACCTTCGCATCCTATATCCACACGCTAAAGATCAATATGATACTAAAACCCTTTCTATTTAATGGTTTTCTTATAACCTTTTGCAATTCCAAACTTATGCTTTCATCCACTACAAGCAATTTGCTTAGCATTGCTCTTTTAACCATTTCTTGCATTACTTTTTCTTCTAAATATTTTCAACAAAATCTCATGGGTTTTGAAAAATCATGGGCTCATGGGATGTGTAATGTGTATTTTTAATTTATTTTCTCCTTTTTTATTTTCATTTTTGTTTTTCTAAATGAGAAGTGTTATTTGTACTCCCATTTTTGTTAATCTCATTCCCATTGTCATTCTAATCATATAGTTTTCATTTATTAGACCATATAATAAAATAAATGGTGAGAGTGCAAATAAAATTTTCCTTTTTCTAAATGTATAACAATCAAAATTATCATAGTAGTATTCATGTTCCTTGTAAAATTTCAATATTTCAGTATTTATGTGTAATTCCATTACAGATTTTGGTTGTTAATTAAACATTACACCAAATTTATCGATTATTGGATGCTTCTTTCGCATTTTTTAGTTTCTTTTATAAGATGCATATCTATTCTATCGAAATGATGAAATTATTTGTGTAGTAACACTTTTGGAGTTCGCATGATCTCTAAATCTATAACCTAATTTGATAGGTTTCATTAATTTATTATTGTTTAAAGATACTTAATACAATACAAATTATTAACAACAACATGCATTGAATTTTAAAAAGAAATTAGGAAACTAATTGAAAGAATAGTGTTATGGCAAATTTCTTTATTCTATGAAACTATAATTTTGAAATTGTAAAAAGTTATAAGTGAAAGTCATTAAGTGACAAGGGCTTAATTGCCATATTGGTAGTTAAAGTGTGAATTTAGAACGTGAGGACGTGGATTTAGCCCATTCCACGTGTTTACGGCACTAAACAAATTGCCCTTGATCATATTAGTTTATGAATTTTTCTAGTGGGTGCTCTTAGGACACCGTTAACCTACCTAGCATTTAGTTAATTTATCATATATATATATATATATAGTAATAATTATTATTCTTTTTTATATTTATATATTTTTTTAATTTAATCTTGATTACCTTCTTTTGTATTTATTTATTTATTTTTAATTAATCTTATATTTTTAAAAATATAACACCTAAAATATATTTTAACGAATGTCTGGACACTTGTTAGAGAGACTGTCAACCTGCTTACCAAAATATTCTTCTCCACTAGCGGATTTTTTTTTTTCTGGAAAAAGAAAATCACATGCATCCATCTCGAGAATTTTACTCATTAAATTGAAGTCCGATATTGATATTATAAAATAAAAAAGTTTCTAAAACAATCAAAGAAATAAAGTCAAAACGGAGGGCGACTCGGGAGTTTGGGACATTAGAAAAAAAATGCTGTGTGGAGGTGTAAGAGCAGCAGTTAACGGTCGCACAAACATCTTATCATTTCCTCGTCTCCGCCCTTCTTCTTCTTCTCCGTTCAAATTCTTCTACTTTCCCTCCACCACCCGCCTCTACGCCGCTCAATCACAACCGTCCATCAATATGTCCGCGGGCAGTCCACCTGAGTTCATAGAACACATCGTTCTCTTCAAAGTGAAACCAGATATTGACCCTTCCAAAGCAACGGCCATGGTCAACAACCTCAGTAGTCTCGCCTCACTCGATTCCGTCCTCCACCTCACCGCCGGCCAGCTCCTCCGGTCCAGATCCTCCTCTCTCACCTTCACTCACATGCTCCACTCTCGCTACGCCTCCAAGTCCGACCTCGATGCTTACTCCGCACACCCCGACCACGTCGCCGTCGTCAACAATTACGTCAAGCCTATCGTCGATGACATTATGGCCGTCGATTGGGTCGCCAGCGGCGCCGGCGCGGTTAAAATTCCTCCCGGTTCGGCTATGAGGGTGACGTTTTTGAAATTGAAGGAGGGCTCCGGGGAGGATGAGAAAAATGAGGTTTTGGGGGTGATTGGGGGAATCAAAGAGAAGTTTCCGGGGATTGAGCAGTTGAGTTTTGGGGAGAACTTTTCTCCCGGGAGAGCGAAAGGGTTTTCAATCGCCTCTGTTGCAGTACTCAATGGGGTTAATGAATTGGAGGGATTGGATGCGGAACCGGAGGCGGCCAATAAGCAGAAGGATTTGGTTAGGGATAAGCTAGATGGTGTGGTGGTGCTGGATTACGTTGTTCCTCCGCCGCAGACGGCTAGCCTCTGATGAAGGGTACAATTCTCTGTTCAATTGTCCTGTTTCGCCAAGCTGCTTCTTTTTTTTTTGCCATTTCTCTTTTATGCTTTATTGGACTATTATTAGGGCATGAATTTTCAATGTCATTGTTGTTGTTGGTGTTTAGGATAATATTAGGCTTTGAAACTGGAATGGTGCTAATAATGAGAAGAAGATTTTGCCCAATTGGAAGTATTCTATGTTTTTGTTCTGTTAGATTTGCTTTCAAGTTACTAGTTTTATTTTCCATTTTCTTCAAGAGATTTGGTCTTGTTATTTCTTGTTTAGGTATATTTGTTCTTTGGTAATTTTTACTAGTTAATCCCATAGAAACACAGAGAGGGTTGTTATTCTTGATTGGAAAGAGAGTTTTGACATCCTCCATACTTCACCATTTCGAACAGAAGACTTTCAGATACGAGTATACAACAAGGATAGCAATTTTGCAATTTTTCATCTTGAGCCCTATCAGCCTCCTCCTCTCGGTTTGATTTCTGGCATGCAGGTCAACTGCTCTAGTACTAAAAATTGTTTTACGTGAAGTAATCGCTGTGCAACCAATGACAGCGCAACTGGCAAATTTGGAATGGGAAGTTTGGTTCAGTTTCACTCTCAACTAGTGTCCCCATAGTCCTCCCCATGGTGCCATTCTATAGAACTGGAACTACTTTTGCTCGGTTGAAGTTGGTCAGTTCACTGCTTTTTAAGAAATTTCTCTTGTGCAAGGATGATGATGAAAAGAAGAAAGTAATGCATATGGTTCAGCCAATTCTCTCACAGGCCACAGTAACTGAAGATGACCACACTACGCAAAGAAAACTGCAATACCCCTCCAAGTGATTTCTAAGCGCCAATGCTATCCTTAGCCACCTTCCCTCGTCCTCTTTATTTCTCTCACCCTGCCCTGCCCTTTTAGCATTGGCCATGTGATGTTCATCCCGTGCTTTTCTTCAGGTCCAGGCCTGCATATATCCACAAGCATGTCAAGCCTTGAAAGATTTTATCTTGTTATTTTGACTAGTGATTGTCAATTTCTTCTCAAGAATTCAACTCGCCTTAAGTATGACCAAAAGGTGACTGGCACTGGTACATGCTGCTTAATTCCATTTTGCGGACGCAGCTGAAGAACTCTGGTTTAACCGTGCAGATGATTGTTGAATTTCATGTGCTGTGCTTGAAGTGCATAGCGGTTTGACTTGTGAGTGTTGGTGGTGTGTCAGCCATTGTTCTTGCACTCAGTGTCTGTAGTTTGATGTCTGGAACTGGAGCTGTACATAATGGAGTTGTGAATGCAAACTCTGGTTTGATCTAGTTTTGCTTTCTCTTGCCATGCAAACTTAAGTGTAAGTTGAAGAAATTCCTCACCCTATGACCATCTCCAATTTTCCTTTATAGGAGGCTACTCTACTTGTCTAAATTTGTTTTCAATTTTATTGGTCATGTGAGTGAAATTCAATCACACAACTAAACGTAATAGTCTTTCATTAGTTTCTTGGACCACTGTTGGTTGATGTGTTTAATATTGATCACTTGATATATCAATATTATACATCAACAAAAAAAAGGACAAAATTTGGCAGAAGAATTTATCCCAAAATAAAAAGCAAAGGAAAAATCAAATTGCAGTTTCCAAGAGCTTTCAAGTTTGCGCTGGAAAACGTTCTGTTGCCTGTAGCCTCATCCAAAATTCTGAACGTCTAGCAGCGGCTGATGCGATGGAAGCCATAATTTGTTTTTCAGGTTTTTCTATTTGACTTTTGAGCCAATGCTTGCTCTTCACGAAAAAGCAAAACTCTTAGCCGACGACTTTTCCATCACCATTTATAATATATTATATTCCGATGACCTTTTAGAATGAGAAAGGAATATTAATGTAGTATTTTTTATGATGTGATGTATGTGAGGTAAAAAAATGATACCAATTAGCTGAACGGTGTCTCCTTGTGAGTCCCTTTTAAATTGCTTTCGAGTCGATTTTCAGATGCTTTCTGCGCCGGTCTAATTGAGTGTAAGTGTGTGTGTGTTTCTACCCTTGTGGAAGAAAAAAAAAGGATAAAAAAATGATTGGAATTTGTGAACTAAATTATTTTTTTTTCAAACTATCTCAATCCAAACACACTTAGTATTATTTTTTGAAATTTTTGTAAAAAAATATATTATACTAATTTGATTTATATGAGGTAAAAAATTGATTGAAAAATATCTATTTGGTTTGCTATTTTTTGAAGTTCTCGAAAAAAAATATGTACTGTAAGTTATAGTAATTTGATTTATATGAAATAAATTGATCGTTGTAGATAGTTGAAAATTGTGTTCACGAAAAATGTAAAAATTTTTCTACTGGAAACAACAATCCAAATGGACCAGGGACCTAACTTATTCTCCAAGATCATTAATTAGTAAAATAATGAAGATATGAAAGGTACTGGTAGCCTAATTTGACAAGGAAGAAGAAAATCCTTGTGACCACTGGCTCAATAGCAACTATCCTTGACTTAAATTTCAAACAGAAGTTTCAGAAAGGCACCAGTATAAATATCGAACTAGAAGTATTTAGGAACCATAAAGCATTCAATAGAACCAAAAACCAAGTAGCTGAAAATCTTCAAGTTAATGGAAGATCTGAAAATCCTGTCCCTAAAAATCACTGCTCTACTTCTGGTAAGCTACTTCTTTCTGAAAGTTTTTTACTCCATTTGGTGGAAGCCAAAATGGCTTGAAAGGCGCTTAAAACAGCAAGGAATTAGAGGCAACCCCTACAAACTTCTGATTGGAGACATGAAAGACTTCATGAAGCAAATCACTGAAGCATGGTCTAAACCAATGAGCCTTTCTCATCAGATTGCACCGCGTGTCGATCCCTTCACTCTCAACACAGCTCAAAAATATGGTAAGTTACAAGACTCACGATGAATCGTATCATTGCAAATTGTAGTTTCCTGAGATGTGTTTCACATGCAAACAGGAAAAGTATCACTATGCTGGGCAGGGACAACTCCCAGGTTGAACATTATGGATCCTGATATAATAAAAGAAGTGCTAGCTAACAAGCAAGGTCACTTTGGTATAACACCGCTGGCGTTGAACCCTCTTATACTCATTCTGACAGAAGGATTGACACTTTTAGAGGGTGAAACATGGGCTACTCACAGGAGGATAATGACTCCCGCATTCAACTCGGAGAAACTAAAGGTAATTTTCCAGCCCTCCTTGTCTCCACCAGGTATCGTTTTTTAGATGGTACTAAGAAGCCTAAGATGAATGAATAACAGTATGGATTCTCAAACTGTTTTTGTCCCACTGCTGTGTGTCAAAATAGGGAATGGTATCAATATTTGCAGAGAGTTGTGTCTTGCTGGTAGAAAAGTGGAAGAAATCAATTGCTCTTGGTGGAACCTGCGAAATAGATGTCTGGCCCGAATTTCAGGATCTGACCGGAGATATTATTTCTCGGACAGCATTTGGAAGCAACTTCGACGAAGGAAATCAAATCCTAAAGCTTCAGAGAGAGCTGCAAGGTTTGGTTGTTGAAGCCATGCAGAGCTTGTACATTCCTGGTCTCAGGTACAATACCATTCACATATGGCTTGGTCTTTTCAGTCTCTGTCATCAGGCATTGCAAGAATACCTAATGGCCTCGTTATGAGAGAATTCTGAGTTGTATGATATCCTTACCATATTAATGAACAGATTCATTCCAACAAGAAAGAACCGGAGAAGAAAAAGTTTGGACAAAAACATTACTTCAATGCTCAGGTCTTTGATTGAGAGAAAGGAAACCCTGATGAGAACTGGACAAACAAATACAGATGATCTACTTGGCCTACTCTTGCAGTCTAATGATGAAAACAGCCTACAATCTAGTCCACAGAACAAAAATGGTAACAAGATGACCATCAAAGAAATAATAGAGGAATGCAAGCAGTTCTACATAGCTGGTCAAGAGACAACCTCAAGCTTGTTAACATGGACGATGATCATCCTGGCAATGCATCCAGAGTGGCAAGAGCAAGCAAGGGAAGAAGTTCTGGCATTGTGTGGGAAACAGCATCCTGATGCCAAAACCATAAGCCAACTTAAAACTGTGAGTACTGCTCTTTACTTCTTTCAGACATAGTTGTTACCTTTTATTGAAGTTCCAATTCATTTAATATTGAAAAATCGCTAAGATACTTTAAAACTACATGTTCCTTAAACATCCATTGGAATGAGAGTTGTAAATCACTAAGATATTTCCATCGAACATCCTCTGCGCTGATTATAACTTTGTTATATGCGGCAGAGTTAACTTCCAAAATGGCCTTGATGCAATGATCGGATGAAGGTCATATTGTAATACCTTTTCAAAGAAAAGCAGTGGTAATTGATACAGATAGGCTTTTAATGTGTTTTCTTTTCAAACACCAACTAGAGCAGAATATTCAATGGAAATAATACAAAGAACAAGCTTACAATTCCTTTTAATAGAAAATGCTTCATGTTCAATCCATTCCCCCATAGTTATTTTTCTTCCTTGCTTCTTCCTACATCTTGGAAGTGGAGACATGAACTGTTTATTTGAGTTGTAGAATTTTTTCAGAGACTTCTATTAAATATTTACTGATCTACTTGTTTTCTATAGTCAAATATTATCTTATGACATTTGGTGCAAACGATTGGGAATGTTTACAGGTAACCATGATTCTTCATGAAGTTCTCAGATTATATCCACCAGCTATCGCTCTGTATAAACATACATACCAGGAAACAAAGATAGGAAATCTCTCTCTTCCAGCAGGAGTAGATCTTACACTGCCCTTATTACTCATCCATCATGACCCTGAGCTATGGGGCAGTGATGCGGAGGAATTTAAACCTGAAAGGTTCTCAGAAGGATTGTCCAAGGCTTCGAAAAATCAACTAGCATTCTTCCCTTTTGGGTGGGGTCCCAAAACCTGCATTGGCCAAAATTTTGCACTGATGGAAGCAAAGATTGCATTATCCATCATACTACAAAATTTCTCATTCGAGCTCTCACCATCCTACACGCATGCCCCCAACACTGTTATGACTCTTCAACCACAACATGGAGCTCCCATCATATTAAAGGAAATTTAGATCACGACTCAGGACATTGAAGATGTAAGATGTTCTCAAGACCTACTAAACAATAAGAACTGTCATGCCATGATTTATATCACTGGAGAAACATTTCTCAACAAAACCGTGTACTCATATTTTTATGGTCAGAATTTTTGTACCTGCAGAATCTCATGATTTCAGTATGGCTGGTCTCTCGATCATTTTACTCTTAGCCTACGAATAAGTAGAAAAATCCTTCCCAAAAAAGACTAACATTTGGAACATTTCTTTCTCTAGGATCTGAAACTATTTCAAAAACCACAACAAATGAAGCAAACAAGCCTTCTATCAATATCAGAGTTGAAAACAAATAGTATATACCTTTCTCTTTGATGTAAAGAATTTTTGGCAAGGTACACTAAGCCCAATACACACCATACTTGGGGACTCATGCTTTTAGTTGTCTTTTCCAAAGTATTCCCATAAATATGATAGGGAAATAGCAATTAAGATCAAATTTCCTGAATTAACTTCCATTGCTGCCTTGTATACAAGAATAATGAGAAGGTCCAATATGTTATGGTTATGAGAAGGTCCAATAATGAGTTGGCACATATATCTACACTAAGAGCATCCACAATGCTATTACACTTTGTGGAGTGTAATCCACATGCCACGTCAGCATTCCACTTTCTCCTCTTTTATTACACTTTCACTCACAATGGATTACACTCCACAAGGTGTAATAGCATGGGTCCACAATTAATTAAATATTTATTTTAATAATGCATAACTCATATCCCATAAATAAATAAAGTAATTTTTAAAACTAATTTTGTTATTTTTAAAAAATAAAGTACTAACTTTCGTTAAATTTTGTACATTTTGAATTTTTTATTTTCTAAAAATGATATTATTAAATGAGTGAGAGAGTAGAAGTGTGTGAGAGAATAAAAGAAATAATAGAGTAGAATATTGGGATATGTTTTAGCAAAAAGTGTTGTGTGTTTATATAGAATTCTAAAAATAGTGCCGTTGGATATAACCGTTGAAAATGTTAAATGTGCTTTGTGCTGAAATTTTACCGTTACCATGATGCGTGTAATCTCCATGACACGGCTCCAATGGGGAGCCGTGTCATGGAGCGGTGTAATGGCTCCCCATTACACCCGCGTTGTGGCTGCCAGACATCAAGTACATCCTAGCATTTTTATCCAACACGTTCACCATAAGAACAATCTGGGCAAAAAGAAATACAAAATAATGAAACAAAACAATTCGTGATTATTCATTTTATTGTGTGAAAATAATTCTGAATCTTGTTTGTTTGTTTTACATCATAAATGCATGTTCCCTCATCAATAAATTCAATTTAAAGGATAAAATAAATTGCTCTGCAAAAGAACATGGTTTAACAAGTGAATCTACTACAAGTCAGCCATTCCATCTAACATGGAGTCCATATTTGGGGTTATCAAGACACGCTTGTCAAGTTCCCCCAGAGTGCAACAATGCCTTTCTTCAATGTTAACGGCAACAACATCTTGTGCAAATGCACAATCCAAACCTAACGAAACCTGCATAAATCATCGAAATATCATACATATTATAATTGTTTCTTCTCTGCGTATGTTATTTACGGCAGAAAAACCATTTCCAGTTCTTAACATAAAAGAAATAGCCCTTTTCTTTTTCTTTTTCTGGACTCGGAGAGGTTAAGGATGATGAAAAAGCAATTTTATGAGTTGCATACGCAAATTCCAAGTTATAGCCATGAAACATGGCTGCTTACATCACAAAGGTTATCATCAAGCTTCAGCTTGACAGCACCACTCCTGTAAAATAAAATTTTACCCATAAATCCTGCTGGCAACTCATCCAAACTACAGGCGTTCTGCGAGAGTTCTCCACTCTTTGTTGGCTTAGAACCGTCTGCCATCTCACTGCCTGCTGTATTAGGTAATTGCTTAATCATAGGCATGCTTGCAGGTAATTGAAGGAACAACATAGTTCACTCCATGTTGCCTTCCTGCAAAGTAGTCCATTTTCATTATGCCCATGATTCTAATAGTAGCAACATTTTAATTTTTGTATAGCATTACCAACCATTAGACCAAGCTCTACAGCAGCATTTGTCGAACATTCATCACAGTTCAAGCTTTCTTTCTGAGGCATCCCCAAATTCCTCTTGATCGAGATGTTCTGCATGTCAGAGGAGCAAGACAATGCATAAAAGTACTAGAAAGGTTGGTAATCCCCATTTATGGAAGAGGAAGAAAGCACATAAATCCACCTCAGTGCTCATGAGATGTTATCATTACCTAAACAACAGCAGACCAAAAACTTGTTGGGCGGAGTGGCCCATGCTCTTACAATTTTAAGCAATTTTCTAAGGTTAAAGCACTCTCATTAGGTTACTCCTTCAAAGTCAAAAGGCATTGTACCCAAAATGATTACCTGGATCTCCCGAGTACGGTCTCCTTAAAGGAAGCGTTACAGGATAATTAGTATAATAATCCTGAAATAACACAAGCAGACAAAGACAACTCAAGAAAAGATTATGATAGACAATATCAAAATTTCAGCGTGGATAATCAGTCTTAGAACATGAATGATAAAAAGAAAAAACTGCATCAGCTGCCACCTACCCATGGTTCTTAGTTTTCTTTCTCCACTCTATGCATATCACCTCCACCTGCAGAAATGCGGATTGAAGTGAGATTCAGCACAAAGCATCATTATAGCAGCATATTCGCACTTAGTAAAATACTTGCCATTAGGATACGAACTATGGTGTGTGCTTACACCCTTGGGAGCACCATATGACCTTATTGAAGATGATGAGTCTCCATAGCCAAATGCGACCTGTGCCAATCCAAATTCAAAAAGGAAAAAGGATTTAAGCAATGTTGGTTTAAGAACTCAAACGTATATAATCTCTTGACAAAGGATGCACCAATACAGAAATAGTTAATCTATGCCAGAGTAGGCCTTGCAGACTACGTTTACAGGTATGCAATCAGTCTGAACTTCAAACCAGAGCCAATGAAGTGATAGCAGAATAGTCGTCGGATAGGATGTCTAACATTTTCTTCATTAAGTGTACTATCTCAGGCTATGTACTAGTGCTTTTCAAATGCAAGGGACACAAGGAAGTGCCAGAGAAACTTAATTGAGGTAACAACCTTTTAATACATTTCTCCGCACAATTCCAACTCCTAAAATACCACAAGGATAGTACGAATATCATGCATCCAGTAAATTATGCTACATTACATAAATATCCTGCAAATCAATGAAATGCAAATAAATCATCAAAACCACGATGAACATAATCAATAGACACTAATGAAAGAAGCAACTTTCTCCATTTGGGTTTTCACATCAAAAACATATGCCGGCTTACCAACGTCTCACTTCAACACTTAAAAATGCTAAAAGAACAGCTTACGTACCTTTTCTTTCAACTTTAGGCTTTACGTTGACAGAAGCTTCCCACATATAACAAGGCAATCATTTTTGAGTGGGGGGCAAAAGTAATTCTAAAATTTTTTACCTATTTTTTTTTTTAAATTTTTAAAGAAAAAATATATTCACCAACAAATACAAATTATGCATATATTTCATGAAAAACATCAAAAGACAAACTCAAAATTATTAATGTAATAATAATTTTATTTCAAAAGCAAACTAAACCATTTACAATTGCTCACAATGAGTTTTCATATTTTGATAACAGTTTACAACCTTTTCATTTTGAATTTCACGAAGTATATTTTTCTTAACATAAGTAACTAAACAATTATTCATCCAAGTGTATTTCATTTTATTTTGTAATCGATTCTTCATTATATTCATTATTGAAAAAATCCTTACTACGGTAACTGTAACAACGGGTAAAATCAAAAACAACTTTAAAAGCATATAAACTAATAGATACACAAAACTCCAGGGGGCACAATTAAAATTATCACAAATATTTTTATAGGTACCATAGAATAATCTTTGTTGGTGCTTTTCATTCAAACTTTGGACAATTCAGGATAGAAGGGCTACTTATATACCTTCCCAGGTGCATTGGTGGTTGTGGTTGCTAAAGAGTCTGGATCCATGACAAAATCAAGAATCAGATGATCAAAAAAACATAGCAAGGTCAGTAGGAGCAAGTTATTGATTAGGAGCAGTCACTTTATTGCTGATCAACTCTTTTAGGAGCAAGTTATTGGTTGTGGAAAAAAAAAAACTCATTTATGTAATGTTGGAGTTCCGATCAGTGTTGTTAGACCCGGACCGGACTTGTCCAATTATAAACCAACCGTCTATCCGAATCAGTTTGTAGCATAAAATCGTTTTAATTAAAAATCAGTCAAAACTGGGGTAAAAAGAAAGTGTAAGCATTAACTATGAGACCATATGAGAGCAGAGAAAGGTTTGACAAGAAACCATCTATTAGCTTCTCCGGAGATTCGTTAAACTTGATTCAACTTTCTCAGGTTAAGCTTTTTCTCTCTCGGATACCATATTTTACATTGGATTCCATTCTCAAGCAGATTTTTTTCAAGATTCTCTAGCAACTAGCCTTTGATGGCTAATCAGGCTGTCCTCCAGCCCCAGGTTGGAGGACATCCTCTTCTTTCTCCCACATTCCAAAAGAAATCATTTTCTGAACTTTTTTGTAATTCCGCTTCTCAACCAGCTTTGAATGTCAAGGCAGTATCTTCAACTCATAGGGGAGAACCTGCTATTATTTTTTCTCAATCTGATTTGATCACGCTTGCTGCCCCCTACAAATTTGCTTTGGTCGGTAAATTTTCTAAGGGACGTCCTTCTATGGAGGATCTCAGGAAATTCTTTCTATCACTTGATCTTAAAGAGGCTGCTAAGGTGGGCTTGTTAGATTCCAGACATGTGGTAATTACCCTGGGAAATGAAGTCGACTTCCATCGGATTTGGGCTAGAGGTATATGGTATGTATATGGTTCTCCAATGCGTGTCTTTAAATGGTCTCCTGCATTTCATGTGGACAAGGAGCCTTCTGTGGTTCCTGTTTGGTTTAAATTACCAAAATTGCCGTTGCATTACTTTAACAAAGAATGCTTATTCTAAATTGTGAGTGTATTGGTGAGCCCATTGTTTGTTGATGCTGCAACCATGGCAGCTTCAAGGCCAAGCATTGCTAGGGTCTGTGTTGAAATAGATTTGT